AAGTAAGCAAATAAAATATGAGTAGAAAAAAAAAATATTTTAAGATTATGTTTAAATTTAAAGAACTATGCATGTAATCATTATTTTAAATTATTTTTATGGGACTAATCATGAGCACTTTAAGTATCTACTGAGCTATAAAAAACTTTTCAAATGTAAAAAGAAATTAAATTCAACGTATCTGCTAATATTATACTTATTTCAGGTAAAATATGATAATTTACTAGAAATAAAAGTCAAAATACAAAATTAATTTACATTTAAGGTTCTGTTTACATATTTGTACGACAAAATGTAAGATTACCTATAACTACGACAAAATCTAAAGACTACTTTTGCATATATCAGAATTGAAATTATCTAATGACGCTTACACTTACGCCCCAAACACAATGGCGATGCACTTCAAAACTGAAAAATTTTGATAACTACAAAATTTGATAACTGCAAAAATGTTAGCTTCAATAAGACTGCCAGCATACATAACATACAATAAAATATAATAAAAACAAAATAATAAATGATACTGTCAAAATCAGTAAAATATGACAGGCAACAATTGTAATTTTGGAATTGCAGTTTGCAGTTGTGTGCGATTCCATTATTATCCTCGGAAAATTTTTTTTTGCAATTGTGAAATTTTTTAGTTTGAAGTGCTGCCTCATTGTATTTAGGGTATTAAAGTCAAAATTTAATAATCTTGTTACAAAAAAAATTTTAAACAAACTAATCGCTATTCCAAACTGCCAAAAAAAAAAAAAATAATTGTCGTGACAGCGCTTTATTACTTTTAAAAAATCTGACAGCAAATTTGACAAGAATAGAGTAATTTCTCTTATTTAATGTAGATTTTGTCGTATTATATTCAAACAGTAACTAAATAAAAATAGTTTCGTGCAGTGTTAACTTTTACGAAAAAATATTAATTTCCAAGCTTAAATAGGTTTACTTGATTAGTTAAGTTATAAGTAATATAATTTTACAAAACCAATTTACATAATATCAGAAAACCCAAACATTGGATTAAATTTTTCCGAATTTATGTACTCGTAGGTACTGCCTACTAAGTAATTTCGAGTTTCACTCTCAAACACAATCAATCCAAACAATTGGTTAAAGCTGTAAATATGTACTTAGTAGTACCTTTAATAAAATTTCCACTAATTTAATTAATTAAACAAAATTTTTATAATTGAAATCTTAAAAATTTTTGACACCTTATTAAAATATTTTATAAAAAATTCTTTTTAAATTATTTAACTATTTGCTTTTAAATAACAAACAATACCAATAAATTTATTCCTGTTCTATTTATATACAAGTACGCGGCTTATACTAGTAGTTTATATTATTTAAACAGATTAATTTAATTCAATATTTTTGAAATACAATATTTAAAAAATTTTGAAACATAATAAATACTTGATTAAATAACAATTTTAAAATTATTTACATAATTTTCTAAAACAGTTTTATTTTATTATTTATTTAATTTATAAACATGATTTTTATTTTTAGTTTAAGGAATTCACCATGACTTTAAGAATTTTTGAATATGTATTAAGTACATATAACAACATTGAAGACCTACATAAAATAGAATTCATTCCGGTACTCATTATCAATAAAAATTATTCTAATTAGGTATCATAACTAGAAGCAAGTAAAAATCGTAATATACCTACATCTTCTTATTTAATAAGGTACTACCAATTCAAAAATTGAAGAAATTCTAAATTAAGATCAAATATTTTTTTGAGTGTAGGACATAAATACATAAAGCTGTTGGTGCCTACCATATTACCCAACTAAATACACAAAATCTTATATAAAATGTAACCAATTACTACTAGTTATGTAGCAGATAACATTCTTTTTTATGACCTAAAATTGTATCTATTTAGTGTACATATTTCGAGTACTCCATATTTCGTAGGTACCTATACCTATACAATTTACTCACAATTTTACTCACAATTTTATATTTAATACAAATATTAACCTATTTAGGAATTTATCAACATTCTTGAAGTAGGTATACATTACAAAAAATTTTCTAGGTCACATAAAAAAAAAAATGTGTGTAAATATTAAAAAACCGGGGAAAAAACTTAAGTAAAAATAAAAATTATAATAAAACCTCATTGGGTAATGTCAAGTCAATATTAAAATTAGGTAAAATTAATAATTGTATAGATAGTGAGTCTAGTAATTCTCTATACTGTTTACATCTTTTGCAATAATTCAACAACATTATTTATTAGTAATATTTTAGAAAAATTTTCATCATGTTTTAGGGAGGATTACAATACTATGAAAGCTAGATATAAGTAAATATGCTGACATTACATAGGTAAGTAGGTTGGTTACCTAACTCTCTAGGTATAGGTAGATACTCTATTCAATATGAATGATAAAGTGTAGTTTTGTTTCATCATTCTGAATATATCGTAAAGAATCTTATATCTAAATATTATTGATGAATTTTATTGTAATCTGAATTTGTATTTAATTCGAATTACGCCTTCCAAAACATAATTAATTTATTTGAAAATATTCAATGAAAAAAATAATGATTAACTAAAATATAAGAGAAAAATATTCTTTAATTACAAAATTTTTATAAATAATATTCTTACCTTTTTATTATTATGTGTTAAATATTTACTTTGACCAATTTATAAAGGTGGTTAATACAATTGACAAGGTATCTTGTGTTATTTATAAAATATTGTACCTATATTTTGAATATAAAAAGTAATTATACCAAGTATTCATACTTGTAATATCGTAATACATAGTAGATTATTTAGTTTATTTTATATACATTTGTGTGTATGTATTCTCCAATGGTAATTTTAAAATGTCAAACAAAACAACACAAAAAAAAAAATATTAAGCAAAATCTGGTACTATAAAAATTTTTATATTTTTTGTTGTTCTATAAAAAATTCAAAAGCAGTTTGGGGTTTTGGGCACCTTTTCTACTTTTATTGTTGAATTCTTTATATTCTATTTTTTATTCACCAAACAAAACACATGTACCTACTTATATATTATGTAGATTATATTTTAAGGGGTATTTGAAACTTGAATATTAAAGAAAAATATTAAATGAAATTTATAAAAATTTCGTACACAATTAAAATTTTTATTTTAAAAATTAATTTTTCTTTTTATTATTCTTTAAATATTTTAATGATTTTCTTTCAAAAAATTTATTTCACATTATTGTAGAGAGAGAATCAAGTATTTTTTTTTTTACGATATTAAAAATTTTAAAAATATTTCATTAACCTTAAAAAAACTTACACACACATTTACAAATTATTATGAAAAAAAAAAATTATTTTCTCTTTTTTTTCAAAAATTTAAATTATTAAATTAATAAAAATTTCACATACTCCAATTTTTCAATTAATTTTTTTCTTCTTTTAATAATAAATTTTCACATAAAATTTTGCCATTACAACTAGCCAAGAGCAAGAGCAGAGCAGCAGCTTACCATTTAAAAATTGAATCAAGATTTTTTTTTTTTGTTTTGAATTTTTTATTCTTTTTTTCTCTTTTCTATTTAAAAATTTACTTCGTGTTAAGAACTTTACAGAAAAAACAAAAAAATTAAAAAATCTTATTAGAAAGTGGAAAAATTTATTTTATTTTTTTTTTTCTTTTTTAAGCGCGAATTCTTTCCACTTTTTTCTTCTTTTCTCAAATATTATTAATATCACTAAATATTATATAAAATCGAGTATAATATTATAGAAATTTTAATTTATTATATATTTTTCTTGTTAAATTTCTCAAAAAAAAATTTCTTATTCAAGAAATTCTTAATTTGTAAAAAAAAAAAAAAAAAATTTCTATAAAATATAAAATTCTTATACAAACGGCTTTAAAACCACAAAAATATTTCCTATCAGCTTGACAACTTCACAAAAAATGACAACGACAAATTTTAGTTGCACGATGAAATCCGAAATTTTGTGTATTTTTTTTTTCTTTTAAAAATTTATAATGACAGCATTTTTATGTTAAATATGTCAAATGGGCAAGTTTTTTTTGATATTTTTTATTTCAAAACGGCAACACTATTTGTATGTGTTTACATAAAGAAAATGAAAATATGAGCTTGAGTATACTAACGCAAATAAATAGTACATTTTAATCTTTACTAACTTTTTGTCAATCCCTTTACCTTTATCATCAAATGACGAATATTTTCCTTTTGCAATACGAGAGCTGGGACAAGCATGAAATTTCATAAAACATATTTTGTCATATTTGTAAATATTTTTTCATTTTCTAAACCTTAAATGAAAAGTTAAGAAAAAAATTATTCAAAGGCGTAATACGGTTCTCGTATCAATGCTGTTTTATAACATATAAAATAATTTTTTTTTGTTTTTCTATATGATTAAATATAGTTAATAATTGTTATTTACAATATATTGGAACCAAAATTTTTAATTCTCATCCATCTTACTTTCTCGAATATTTAATGTCTTGAAATACCATACTATTTATCCAACTATTTCAAATACATCCAACTATTATCAAAAATACCATAAAATATTTTCGGTTCCTATAAATTATGTACATATTTTATGCGCTTGTTTTGCTGGCTGTTTCCACTTTATTTTGAATTATTGTTGATGTGTATATTTAGACGCATCCCATATACATATATAAATATTATAACTAACCTTTCTACACACACATGCAAACACACGTAATTCTGGTAGAGCTATGAATGAAATACGAAATGGAAATATAAGAACATATTATGTATACTATGACACCAGTACCACAAAATAATCCTACTAAACTGCCAAAGAATAATTATTATTTAATTATTTTCCTATCTGATATTCAGATTTCTATGAACATGAGATGGCAAATATGGAAATATGCATTTACTATTACATTTTTATGAATTGAAAAATATTCTATAAAGAAATAAAGCAATGCTGTTTTCAGTATTCAATATTACAATTTAATTTTGTTCAAATTTATTTTGATTCAAATAACAAAAAAAAAAAATTATTTTAAATAAGGTCACAGCTAAAAAACAAAATATGTAGTACATTTGGAATTATAATTTAAAAATAAATAAGGCTATCATTCTGATACAACAAAAATTGATTTAAACATTTATGAATTAGGCTAGTGTAAATTTCATGACTGAATAAGTGTTTATAATTGCTATAAAACTTCATTTTATTTTACGAATAAAAATTTTTTCCTCTTCAGTTTTCAGTTTTTTTTTTTTTAGGCTAAGATGATATTACACGAAATTTTTTAAAAAAATTTTGTTAATTAACTATCATTCCAGTCCTAGTGCCCAATTAATTCCCTGAACTAGGAAAAATATCAATGGTTGCCATGCTACTAACCATCTAATCCAATCTAGCAGCCTTCCATACAAAACATGAGGTCGCTCCCAACTATTAGAAAAAAGAATTAATTTAAAAATCTAAATTACATATGTGAATAATAAAAACTTACGGATTGCAGAACATTTTTTTTAAATCAACCTTTTCCTTACAATAAGGACAAGTTTGTTTTTTGCCTACTATGCACCATCCCCTTATACAGAATTCATGAAAAACATGATTACATGACAACTTATATGTGTTTTCGATTACACCCTCTTCTTTTTCACTTACAAATAATTTATTTCCACATACAGCACATACATTATCTTCTAAATGTCTTGTAGGCATCCCTTGCGGAGCATAGTACTAAAAAAAAGCCAAGGATATAAGATTTTTATTTTGAAAAAATTTTAATTCTTTACTCCTATGTGGGATGCCATTTTATCTGAACAAATTTCAGATATATCACGACCTAGAACTCCAAAGTAGAGCCCATAAAATATAAATAAGAAGGCTGTATCCATCCATATGTTTGGCGGTTGATTGAAAACAAAATTAAATCCAATAAATGTAGCGAAACAAACTAAATAACCAATTATTCCTAAACCATAACTAAGTTTATATATAAAATAAAACCACTTGTACACTAGTCTACAAAAAAAAAAACATGTCATGAAAACAATTTCTTATAAGATAACGTTATAAAACTTACCTTGGAGTTGTACCATCAATTGGTTTAATCATCGCTTTTCTCATTACGATTATCGTTATAAAAGTAAATATTACCCACGATATAATAAATCTAATCCATATATAGCGTATAGAAATTACAATCGGGATAATCCACATTGCAATTAATGAAACTAGCTAAAAAAATATATAAATTTATTTATAAAAGCAATTTTACTCATTAATTGTTTTACTGAATATGAACGATAATGTCGTTTTTTCCATTCCACTAAAGCAATTTGGGCAAAAATTAATGTCACAAATAGAACTAAAACCATTTCTGAATGCATTTGCTCATGTCCTCGATGCTTTTCATGCATTTGCTGATGTTCGTATCTAAAAGAGCATAGAATTTGCCATATGACTCAAAATAGTTTAACTTGAAATATTACTACCTCATTCTTTCCTCAGGAGTCATTTCTTCCAGGGACTAAAATTTATAATTAATTTCATTATTATTTTATATAATTAATTAAGATATGCATTTTGTACTTTATTCATATCCACAGGAACATGTAAATCTCGCGGAAACGTCTGTATATTTGCTGAATCCATTTTAAATAATTTTTTTAAATACTATAAGCTTTTATTTAATTTAATGACTAGCCACCTAGTATATTAATATTACATTTTGCTTTTAATTAACCTATTGAAATAAGAAAATTAGACTGCCAGCTTATCTGCTGAAAATTTGTTTAACTTTTTACATCGTCTTATTTTTTTTTTTTTGTACTGTCAAACGTCAAATATGACAAATGTAATGTCACCCATATAGTTTATTCAATGTTCATTTGTAAAAGGAATAACGATTGTTCATAATCTAGCACTCAATTTCTATTTATTTTGTATGTATGTACATAAGTTCGGCAGGAAAAAAATAAACGAGGGACTTCTACTTTATTGCTGAATTCAAAAAAATATTTAATCTATCTGTCGTATTTTAGAGCTTTGGAGCATTTCACACAATTGTGCAAGATAAAATCAAAAACTACTTTCCTACGTTAACGACCTAGTGCAAAATTTAAATTGCAGGTAAAAAACAACATATGATTGCAATAATAACTGGTTAATCTTAATATTTCGTGTTTTTTTTGTGAGAGAAGTTTACTGATATTTCTTGTCAATCTTCTTGTAAATCAATATTTTTTGTCAAACGAATTGTCAAAATTAATAACAATATAAGCACAAGCGATTCTTTAAATTATGCACTAGGGACAACATTTTTTTACATAAAAAACAATAGCTGTCACAAATTTACACAAATGACACTATGAACATTTTAAGCAATTTTTAAATACCGGCATTTAATAAATATTTTTAATATAACTTTATATCGAGATTTATCACGGGTTTCCAAAGTAGAGAAGGAGTTATGGAAGAGTTAGAATAGTGTAAATGTTTGCTGTGAAATTTTTATTTAAATTTATGTGTAAGTGCTTCTAAATCCCATTTCAGTAAGGTCAATGTAAAACTTCCGTAATGTGAAACTTTCTTAGAGAATATTTCCTTCTATAAAATAACAAAGTTAATTGTTATAATATATTTCTTTTTGGACAAGAAGTAGCTAAATATTGCTCTTTCAAAATAATGAAACTTTGAATATTGCACTACATTTAAATATAGTACGGCAATACTGTTCAAAATTTATTTCTTGACATTTTGAATTCAATGATCAAATCGGCAGTGAAAAAAACATCAAAAATAAAAAATAACCTCCTTGTTTTACTTTAAAAAGTATAGAATAAGTTTCTTTTATAATAAAAAAAAATATTTCCAAATTGCTGTGTTTATATTTTCTTTGTAAATTATGTTAAGAATATTTCCGAACAATACATCAAAATTAAATGGGTGCAGATATCAGATGAAATATTTTCTTGAAACAATTACAGGTTAGTTTTAACAAATCACAATTTCACAAAAAAAGGACTAAATGTAATAATAATAAATTTATATTAAATATGCATTTCTAGGACGGGTTCAACATAGCAACATTCACCCAGCTTCATTTAGATTATTGAGTGATTCGGTAAATAATACCAATCAGATCCAAAAACCTAATTTCAATTCCTGTTCCTCAAAATTAATTAACTGTATCCCTTCCCAGCAAAAATTAAATGATTGCGAAAAATATAAAGTTTTTCTTACTCAAAAATTCTAAAAATGCATTTTAACAATTTTACTTTTGTAGAAAGAATTTTCTGGGAAAAATGCACAAACTCTTCAGTCAAAAGATAATTATGTAAAGGCTAATATGAATCCACCTCCATCTAGCTGTCCTCCAGATGATTCAAAACCTGATTCATCAAATAAATTGTTAATTGCACTTGTGTTAGCTGGTGTTGGGGGAGGTTTGGTAATATCTTAATTTGTTTTTTTTTTCATGTATGTTAATTTGGAATATTAAATACTAGCTATATTTGCTGACTAACAACAAAAAAGTTCCTCCTGAGCAATCCTCTGCATCTTCAATTGTTCCAGTTGGTGTTAAAATACCTGCTTCAAGCGCGGATATACCGAAACATATTCCATATTTATTAATAGGGGGTGGAACTGCTAGTTTTTCAGCATTTAGGGCAATAAAGTCTCATGATCCCAAAGCGAAGGTACATATTTTACATTTTCCTGCTTAAGAAATTTCAAAAAAGATATACTTAGGTTATGGTAATTTCAAATGAATTTCGTAAACCGTATATGCGTCCACCACTTTCTAAAGAATTGTGGTATAATGCTGAGATAAAAAAAAATCCTGATGAAGATTTTCACTTTAAACAATGGAATGGCGCTACAAGAAGGTAATATTTTAGTTTTATTCTTAATTCTATTATATTAATTAAATGTGTTTAATGTATAGTATCTATTATGAGCCTGAAGAATTTTATGTGGATCCAACAAAACTTATGCAATCCCCTAACGGAGGTGTAGCAGTTTGCCATGGTTATTCAGTTAAAAAAGTTTTACCTTATGAACAGAAAGTTATACTATCTGATGGTACCGAAATTAAGTATGATAAATGCTTAATAGCCACAGGTACAATATCTCTTCAATATTTTAATTTTTTAAAAAATTAACTTTCTAATATGTTCAAGGTTGTACTCCGAAAAATTTGGACATTATTTCAACTGCCTCGCAAAAAGTTAAAGAAAAAGTATCCGTTTTTAGGAATCCTGAAGATTTTATGTGTCTTAAAAACATTGTTGACAATTCTCAGTCAATTGTAATTATTGGAAGCGGATTTTTAGGAAGTGAATTAGCTTGTGCCTTGAGTAAATACGGATCGAGCAATAATTTAACGGTGTATCAAATATTCAACGAAAATGGTAACATGGCTAAAATCTTGCCCGAATACTTAAGTGATTGGACAACAGAAAATGTTATTAAACAAGGCGTAAATGTAATTCAATCGGTTCAAGTAACATCTATAGATAGAGCTAACGATAAACTAAAGTTGCATTTGAGTAATGGAAAGACAGTTGTGACTGATCATGTAAAAGCAATCTACAATTTGTAAATAAAATGATATAAAAAAATTTCAATTTTTGTATCTTAGGTCGTTGTATGTGCTGGTTGTGAAGCAAATACAGATATCGCAAAATCGTCTGGCTTAGAAGTGGACAATACATACGGTGGCTTTTTGGTTAATGCCGAATTAGAAGCAAGGAAAAACTTATTTGTTGTATGCTTCAAATATATTATAAATTAACATAAATATTAAAATTTCAATTTCGATACAGGCAGGCGACGCAGCATGCTTCTATGATCCATTACTAGGTAGGAGGCGCGTCGAGCATCATGATCATTCTGTGGTATCAGGTCGTTTAGCTGGTGAAAATATGACTGGATTAAGTATATAATTTTTTTTTCTTTTGCATTTTTGTTTAGAATCAATTTAATTTTATTTATTTTAGAAAATCCGTATAAACATCAAAGTATGTTTTGGTCTGATTTAGGACCAGAATTAGGATATGAAGGTATAGGATTAATTGATTCATCACTGCCAACAGTAGGAGTTTTCGCAAAAATGCCTGCAAATAAGCTAGAAGAAAAAAATGCGTTAGAAAATTCTTCAATTCAAACAAGCACCTCAACCACTGTTACTGAAGAACCTAGCAAAAGCACTAATAGTGATAGTACAAAGAATCCAGAAAATAAAGTTGAAAAACCAGAATCGCATTTAACACCTAAGGATGATTATGGTCGTGGCGTAATATTTTACTTAAAGGACAACAAAATTGTAGGAATTTTGCTTTGGAATATTTTTAATAGAATAGGTTTAGCCAGACAAATTATAAATGAAAATAAAACATATGACGATTTGAATGAAGTTGCTAAATTATTCGAAATACATTCGTGAAGATAAAAATAATAAAAAAAATCATCAATCAAAAAAAAAAAATTTTTTTTGTTACTGTTTTTCGTTTTAAAAATGCATAAATTTAAGTTAAATATTATATTTCGTTAGAAAAGAATTATAAACAAAATAGTAAAATTAGTATATTATTGATAATATATTTGATAATAAATGAAAATGTATTAATATATTGTATTTTTGAATAATTGTATAATATACAAATTTAAACCAAGGAGAATGAATTAAAAATAATTTTGGAAATGTACAATTTGAAAATCTATTTTTTTTTTCTGTTAAATTATTTACTCGCAATAGGTAGACACCCAGTATAATTTTGTTTGAAAAATTTTTGTATTACGAAACGATACTCGGTAATAAAGTGGATTTTGTCCGGGGTTTTTTTTTTATGGTTTATATAAAATGTAAATACTGATTATTTGCACAAATAAAAGTATGTATAACAAAAACAAAATATTTACTAGCTTATGCTTAGGCAACATTATTTATTAGTCTTTTGTTAATGTAAAAAATTTCAAGAGTTTAATCCCATAAATCGATCTATACTGTATGACGTAGATTTTTGTTCAGCAATATTTAATTTTTTCTTTGAAGTAATGCCCTAAAATAAAAGGAGGAAGGGACAATATAAAAATATAAAATTTTTTCCAAACATATTTGTTTTGAATCTTTAAAGCTGTTTAGACAATCAAAGGTGGAATGGAAGGCCGAAACATAATCGTTATGAATATTTAAAGCTGTTTAGTCAATCGAAGATCGAATAGAAGGCCGAAAATTAATTTTATCTTTCAAATTTATAAAAATTGATCAACCATTTTTTGTCACGAAGACATTATACATTCCAGTTTAGCTTTTAAAATTTTTTTCCATGAACAAAATTCGTAGGCCATAGATTATAATAATATTTTAAATGTCTTAAAAAAATAATATCATTGTTTTACATCAGTCAAATTGACTTGATTTATATTAATTGATCCTAAAGTTCACAGCTACTGAAATTTTATGTTTTTGCTATCAATTTCATTTTGAACTTAATTAATTTACTTCTTAAATGTGACAAACTAACTAGAGATTATAATATTAACAACTTAATTAATTATCAAACTGTTTTGCTGAAAATGAAACCATAATAACTTTGGATTATTATAAATGAGATCTTCTTATGTTAAAAAAAAATCTACAAAAAATTAAGAAACATTTAAATTAATTTATTTTATTCAATCAAATGACGTACAAAATCATTCAAAAATAACTGATTAAATTAATTTTATTTTTCTCAAATATTTTAATTTTATTTAATTATTTTAATAAAAATGCTTCTAAAAATTAAATAATTTCAGAAGCAATTTTATTTAAATAATTTTTTTTGTTTTAATGAAAATGCTAGTTTACATAAAAAATTAAAATGAATTTAACGTTATTTTCAGTTGCTCGGAAAGAAGATACTATTGAAACTGATATTTCATAGAACTAATAAACTCGTACAGAGTGAATAGGAGTCCATGATTCCTTGTATGCGTAGTGACAGACGGCTATATAAATCTTTAAAAATAACACAATTCTCAATTCAACCACGAATTATTTTAATTATATAAATTATCTGTTAAAATAAAATGAAATTCAACTGTAATTAATCCTTATGTAAGACTAACTAACGAGATTTATTGTAAGAACTATAAACAAACCATTATGGACTGTTCACAATACGAACATACATACATATTTAATATTTTTTCAATATAATTGTCAAAATTTTCAATATAATTTTCAAAACAGTAGGTATTCATACTAGAATGAATTCCCTAAATACATTGCATCATTGTAATAAATATCAAGATATTTAAAATAATTAAAAATATTAAAGGGAAATCAAAAAATTATCTGCTTTAAATTCAGCCGTGGGAGGGACATAGAGCTGATGCACGATAGACATGCATCGTATGTCATTGGTTTTTATTAACTATGTGGCAGACAAGTTTGATGCATAGTATTTCTTTGTATTAATTATTTAAGATTATTAATATTTATTGTAATATTTTTTCTGGTATTGAATATAAGTGTACTCATACTATCCGATAAGACTATACGTCATAAATCCGTCTCTATCCGAAAATAATTAACAAAATTTCCTTTGATAATTAATATTCCATTTACGTACATAAAACAATAATAATTAATGTCTTGTTAGAAATTAATTAAAAATTTATTTATTTCTTTTTTTAATATTATTATGGATTATTAAAATTAAAAAATTAAATTAAGAAAAAAAAGTATAATAATATGAACTTTTGACATTCTTTTTTCTTTTATATTTTAATTTCAAACTTGATATACTTATGTATGTACATATAATTATTATTTTAAACAAGTAGGAATGACATAATTCTATAATAATATACTTTAAAATTGTATTCCAAAGATCTTGATCAAATAAATCAAATTTATTGCGACATACCAATTCTATAAAATATAAAATTTATAATTACAAATTATGTATGCATATACAAGTATACATATACATATTTATTAACTGAACATAATACAAACATATATGATATAGTATTACAATATGTGGGCAGATATTTTTGGATATAATACCTTTTTTCTATTATATGGGATTTCAAAAAGTAGAATATTAAGAAAAAAATAAATATAACATAATTATTAATAGCTTTTTTTCTTTGTTCCATCTTAAATTATTAATTTCTATTTTCTGGTAAAAAAAAAAATGGTAAATAAATTTTAATATAACTACAAATATACACACATGTACATAACTTTCATTTATGCTCATGAGAATGCGATAAATTTCAAGAGTGAGCGAGCTATGATCTAAGAAACGTCAACCAACTATGACATTATACATACCTACCCTATACATAATATTCTACATTTTATATATTAAGTTTTTTGTTTAAATTATTTATTAATTTTTTTTTTTCGAAATCTCATTACCAATGTTAAATTTTTTGAATTATACCGTTGTAGTGGTTTCTGATACACTCGAATCCTTTAATGTTCTCTATCTCTTTAATAGTGTATTGTTCTAATTGAAGGTTATTTGTTCTTATTTTTTTTTTGCCTTTGATATGTACGCCCAATATAATTATGTCATGTTACTATATATTATCTGAAACTGTTGTATAATAATTCACTTAATTCGTTTATAATATTTTATTCAAAAATGACTAGTTACCTCACTTTGAGAAGAATTGTTCCGCTGTTTTGCATACATTTTGCACCCATTGAAAATGAAGATTTGGTTTAATCTATACCTATAAGGTAAAAGCGACGAGTCAAACTTAAACTATTGTTATTAAAATTAGAAATATTGTAAATTTAATAAAATATTTACATATTTCCTTGCTAGTAATAAAAATTTAGTAATTTGAAAATTTAATTTTTTTAATTGATTTAGTTAAGTTTTATTTTATCGGCACCCAAAGTGTAGTATGTAAAACGGATTTATTAATTTCAATTTAGGTTACCATCAATGAACGCGGTATGCGGTAAATAGAAAATAATTTATAGTTGCAATACCGCACGCTTAAAATTGAAAATTTGAATCCGTTGAATATAAAATCAATTTATTTTTGACAACCGCATGCCGCATACCGCGTCAATTTAGCCTATTGAAGTTGCGCTATAAAAGCTGTTATTGTTTTCATAATTTTTGAACAAAAATGAAGAGTAAATTTCGAGATTTTAGAGATGAAAATGAGAAATATCTTAATATTTAGCAGATCTTAGACATAATGTAAATAATAAGAAATACGAAATTAAAAATATAAATAAAATAAATACAATACACATATATAGATATACATATATATATATATATAGTTATATATATATACGTATTTTTTTTTTGGTTTCTTACCGAATTCAAATTATTTGAGCAAGGTCATTAATGTTAAAAAATTTGACAGCAAGATATAGAACATGTCAGTATATTTTTTATAATTAAAATTTTTTTTTCCAGAAAAAAAAAACAAAACTTAGTTAATTTTGAATTTTCAATTTCCATAATAAATTGTCGCTCAAGTTTATAATGTCAATTTAGAATATATTATATTTATAATATATTCTAATACACTATATTTACTTAGGGGTAAACGATATATGTACGGCCTTACTCGATATTGGTATTGCATCTCTCTCATAATTTTTTTAATACAGTATAATTTGCGGTTTTAGGCACAATTCAATGTACATAAAAAAAATAATTTAAAGAGCGTAGTAGAAGCAAATAGTGAGAGAACTATCAGACTTTCCAGAGTATAAAAACTGATTATATGTAATTTTTTATTAATATGAAGCTTTTCTAAATTTTTTAACATAACAACGGTACTATATATTCGATTATCGCTGTGAATTTTGCTAGTGTTATTTTTCTAGTCGAACCATACACAAATTATATGAATTTTGTATGAACGCACACATTTGTTCAAATATTTCCGAATATAAATTTTGATATATTTTATTCCGTGTTCCAAAATGTCATAAATTGTCATTTAGTACAAGTTTTTATAAATTTATTAATTAATTATGTTATATAATACAATGCGCATAGGTAAAATGTTATTATTTTCAATGTTAAATTGTCGACTATGATGTTATATTGTTACATACAATAAATTAAATCAAGCTAAGCAAGCTATACTTAATCATAAATCTTAAATTTTTAAGTATGTTTGTTCCCGATGAACTTGTATTTACACATGTATTTTTTTTTCAAACCTGTTTCAATTTGACAAAACAAGAAAAAAAATTTCAATTTATTAAAATAATTCAAATTTTTACCACTATTGAATTCGATAAAATTTCAAAATTTAAAATCAAAATATATATGTACATGTATGTGTAATATTGGTTTCGTTACATAACAATAATAGAAATGTTTGACACTTAAGTTATTCCCCCTGAAAATTGAATGAAGCTAAATAGCTCATAATTTGTACCAATAATCAAAAAAGTTCCGAATTTATTGAAAATTGAAAACATAATGAAGGTAAAATAAGAC